CTCCAAACAGTCAAATCACCACCAACCAAATGTGATAAATGATCCATGTAGAAAATCCCTTACTCAAGACTTTGATTATCATTCCCTATAAACTATTTTCAATCCTGGAGTAATATTTCTGGTTTCAAGGTCCCTCCCCTACCTACTTAAAATACATGATTGTATACCTTCTAAACATCTGTCTCCAAATGCATGTTCTGGGAATATTGTTCTGTAATGAAGACAAGCATTTCCATGTTATAAAGTTGTGGATAATCTGGGATGATGCCTATTGCAATACTCGCCCCAGAGAATTTATTTATAAATTAAACCCATTTTTTCTGTGCCAATAAAAATACTCTTTGAGTATGAGTAAGCCATGCATGCGACAAACAATGCTGATGAAATAGTGATCCAGCAATTCCCAAATCTCGGGCTGGTTCATTATCACCTTACGTAGTATTCCATGACATTTTACGACATAAATACAAGAGATAGTTCTTACCTCAGATAGGTTATGCTGGATACCTAGAAGAAAATATTTGATAAACATATTTAAGAAAATTACAGACATGCAAGTTTAAAGACAGGTGAATTTAAAGAGACTGTAATGTACAAGGTACTTACAGCAACTGCTAATAGCTTCTTCACAAATAGAGCTGACTGCTGTTCTGAGAAAAAGAACAGAATACAACTCACATGAAAATTGTGGATAAAATAATTAAATAATCGTGTATTATCTTCTTACAACAAGGTAAATTGCAGATAGCACAGTAGTGGAAAAGAATGGTGGTTTTGTAACATACCTGTGACTTGTTGAGAAGGAAAAATGCTTGACCACTGAAGATAGAAATAATTCTATTTTAAAATAAACTGGCTTTGTAGTGACCAACTAACTGAAGGGTTGTGATAAAAGAAACCCAAACAAAAATTAATCCTGTTCACGGTTTTCTCTGAAAGGTTGTTTTTGAACCAGTTAGTATTCATTCAGGTTCAAAAACTCAAACTAAATTCTGAGATTTTTTGCCCTCAAAGACCTTAAAGGATCCCGCATCTGGAATGGAATTAAAGAGAACTCATGGCCCTAATATCTCTGATATGATTAACAATAAATGATATTTTTCCACGTAGTAAAAACCACACACTACTATCAACAAAATTAAGTCTTTCACAACTTCTAATGCAGCAGTGCAGTACAACACCATATATCCGCCATTTTAGACTAGTCTTCAGGTTTCAGTCTTTCTCCGTCGCGACGGTGAAATATTTCCTACATCTTTGATCGTTCACCCCACTTACCATCAAAATGTTGGTAAGATCGTTTTTTAATAAGACTTACACTAACTGTTTTTTCTTGCTCTCTAACTGCCTGGACAGTTGCCATCACACAAGGTTGCCAAGCCGGCTGTGACAAGAAATAGAGGAAAATTAAGTACTTATCTATTCAAGATGTAAGCTAAGCTTATAACGGAGGTCATTAAAAAATACTCAAGAATTAAGTCTTTCAGCATGTTCCCAAACTGAACAGTGCCCTTATTAAAAATAATAATGTTACAAGGTGGCCAGCTTAAAACTATAAGCTTAAACTTAACCCGACTTAAGCTTATTAAATTCAGCTCTTTTTTTCGTGAAATATTTTGACCTTTTTAAAATTTTACCGCAACTTGCCTTACTAGAAACAAATGAAGTAAGTTTACCGTCAATCGCACCAGATACGAAGAAAATACCTTCATTAGGCTTGTTGATGAACTAAAATGCGTCGTTAAGTCTTATAAAGTTACAAAATGATCAACTGACTTTTTTACCTCGGGTTCCTTGGTACGTAAGACTTACGTAAACTGGGCAAGTTTTCGTACACAGGAAGTTTTCCCTTATTGTCCTCTTGGTTAAAACTTGGACACAGACAAAAACGTCAAAGGTGAGACAAAAACCGTTCGTAATTCAAAACTCTAACCAGGTTCATAAGCTTATTTTGAGACGACAAAAGCTCGTAAAACAAAATTGGTATGGCATGCTTGAATGGGTTGTAACTTTGACCATCACTCGCATCAGTGGCGCGAAATTTCCCTGTAGCCGCGTTATTTTTACAAGGAAGCCGCGCTTTTTGGCGGGAAAATATCTCGGCAGAGCGAGGATTGGCGCAAGGAAATTTTCTTTGCCACCTGTTAGGAGCTTTTCTTTAATTTCCTGTTTCATGGCTTATTTTTCGCAAAAAATTCACAAAAGCATTTTGGAAACTATAAGAAGTGCAACGTTCGAATTTGGTTTCAGGAGAAATTGATTAATTTTGGTTTAAAATTTTTAAACCAGTTTCAGTGTGTTTGGATTTTATGTCTCAGTATGTTAACGTTTTACATGCATATATTAAACCCTCATATAATAAAGACAAGGGAAAATACGACAAGTGGCAAACAAGTTTGAAAACGGAAAAAAACTCTGATGTTATTGAACAATGCAACTTTGTGACATCTAAAAATAGCACTGACGGGAAAAATTCCGCCCACGGAATTTCGAGCAGATTTACAAATTTGCATACCGGCGGGGCCTTTCTGGTGCCAAGGCCCCGCCGGCTAAGAGGAGCGAAGACGGGAATATGAGAATGGATTTGGAATGAAAGGAGACCTTAGGTGTCGGCCTTGGTGGGGGCCTGGGCATCGGCCTACAAGCTCGATTACCAGCCGTTTTTCAGGGAGACCGCGTTCCTTCCCCGAACTGGAGCAGGAAGGAACATAGACCCAACTCGAGTGAGCAGCTGAAATCAAGCCTATGAAACGGCTTTTTCGACAGATTAAGGAAATTTTGAACAGGCCTCGCCTAGAATAAGCAAGAATGATCGGAAATCTATTTCAAAACTAGGTCACGTAATGACAGAAGTCAATTAACAATATTAACAAATTTGAAATGACAGTTGTAATAAATTTACAAAAGAAAGAGAGTCCAACTTCAAGTACCTACACTAATNAACTCTGGCTCCTCAGTGAATAAAACAAGTCTGATTTTAGCGCGCACCATGAGTCCACCATGTGAGCAGAATCACAGACCTCGTCAGAGTCCAAAATTACAGCAAAAGCAGTTTTAGCGAAAAATGCTATCATTACAGGTGAACGCGCAGAAGTTTCAGGGTTTCATGTAACAATATATGTCAAAACAGCGATATATTTCCCTTCACACTCTTAACAGTCTTGACACCATCTGCGTTTTTCAAGAGAACCCTAAATTTATGTCTGACAATTTCCGCTTCGCCGTGAGTCAGCCATTTCTGGTTCTTTTCCCCGCCATTTTGAAAAAGGCTCGGCGCAGACAATGTTTGGGAAACTAGGAAATGTGGGTTAATACGACCGTCACTTGAATAATTTCCTCAATATTCAAATTGACAAATTTTAGTCGGTGGGCTAAAAAGACGTGGCAATAGCTTATACCGAGGAAATCGAGTGATTTAAATTCCCTGGGAAGCCTCAAGTAAGCAGTGGCGTTTAAATATTTCAGAAACACAATATATATAAAGGAGAATTTCTGACATCTGATTTCAGGCCATATTTGCACAACTGCGTGTTGAAAAGGAGAAAAACAGAAATGAAAGTAAATCGAATGGTCACAATTCCTGGGTGCACTGACCATCTTGCGAATATTTATGACAAGAAAATGGAACCTCAACGATTTACCAATTTTTACGATATTTAAAGCTGCTTTTCACGTCTTTATCGACCTTTTTTTTCTCGATGACTTCAATATTTCGTTTGATTAGCGCCGTTCTTAATAATTTTTAACGTCTGTATCTCTAATAATGATAAGCCAGATGCATCTGAGATAAAGCACTATAATAAACCAGAATTCCACAGATAATATGCAGATAGATAGATAGATAGATAGATAGATAGAGTTACTGATTTTTGTTATTAGCGACTCGCGAGCACTAACAATACATTGCTTTCAACTCGTTAAAAAGGTCTACGAGCGGCGGTTTTCAATTGGTTCATTTATCAATGCACCATACGAAAACAATCAACAACAAGCTGTCCGTGTTGAGTGCGTTACACACCCTTGTCGTAACATGCATATTCATGTACTTTCAAGCTCCCTGTCGTGGTGAGTCTCGATAAAAACACATCAGCGCTCGTTCCTTGTGACTGCGTGGGGTTACAACCCAACATTCAGACATCTATTGTGACAGAACGTGCAAGGGAAAATTCTTGCCGCTATGTGTGGCATCAAGTGTATTAAGACGCTCCTTTTCGCCTTCAATTTCATTTTTTGGGTAGGTGTTATTAATTCTGAGTTAGTGTTGGTGTTATTTAGTTGTACCGTACAGCTGAAATTTATTGGAAACCTTCATTTCAGCGCTACAGCGGTTTATGTTGAGACTGTCACAAAATCTGTTTCGGTCTTTGGGTTTTTACTAATCCCTTTTTCCTTCAGGGCTTTTTATTCGCCGTTCGACGACAGCAAAACTTTTCTAATAT